GCCATGCTGGGGCCACGTCCCACATACAGCAACTAGAAGGATGTGCAACTATGACATACAACTATCTACTGGGGCTTTGGGGGGAAAAAAAAAAGGAAGAGGATTGGCAATAGATGTTAGCTCAGGGCTGGTCTTCCTCGGCAAAAAGAGGAGGATTGGCATGGATGTTAGCTCAGGGCTAATCTTCCTCACAAAAAAAAAAAAAAAAAGACGACAGCCCCTCTCCAGCGGTCCCTACACATCGCAGGGGCACAGTTTGGAAATCTAAGCAACAGACTGTGAGTTAGAGGCAGGAAGAAGCCAGCCCACCTGGAGGAGGCCAGCCAATGAGCAATGAGCCCAAACAGCACTGGACGTGAGGCAGCGGAGGGGATTGAGCCCAACGCTACTGAAATGCAACCTTGCCAGGCCCTTTTCACAGAGAAGCGATGCCCTCGTGTTCATGCTCATTCTTCTCTTCTTCTCTCATTCGACCTGCCTTCCCCACCCCCCCAGTGCATACACACCGCACACGCACATGCACACACACCTGACACAGAGTCACGCGCATCTAGCTAGTAGCCGTGCACACTCACTGACCAGGGCTGGTAACTCCTCAATATTTGGTAGTGCTATTTCATAGTGGTCTGGGAAAATAACAAGTTTGGCTTCATCTTCATATTCATAATCGTCGCTATTTAAATCGTCATCAGTATCTAGATCTGAGGAGAAAACAGAAACAAAGAACAAGAAGTGAAGAAAGAACATTCCACACTAAGGCAGCACTCACTGGGAAAGCCAGAAATCCACAGGGATGACAAACCAAGGTGCGATATTTACAATTCCTCTGACACGACCATCCATCTGCCCCAAACCAGGAATAAAAGGCCTTTGCATCTTTCCTGTTATACATACTTATCTATAAGGCCCAGTATGTATAAAGAAGCCTGAGTCATATCATAAAGAAGACTGGCACAGATGTTAGCTCAGGGCCAATATTCCTCACCAAAAAAAAAAAAAAATAGACAAATGTGCTAGATATTCAATTCTTAAAGACGTTTAAAGGAATAGATTTTCATTACGATTTGTCAGGCACCTAGCTCCTGATTTCACAAGAATGGGTTGGAATGTTTTTCACAACACCGTAATATGGAAGAAAGTACATGGGTTAGAGAGTAGATAAACCTAGGTTCAATTCTGGATCCAAAATTTAATGTGACTTTGGGTGTCACAAACTCTCTAAGCCTTAGTTTCCTCATTTATAGAATGGAGAAATTAACACTTATCTCTCACAGTTTATATGGGGAATAAATAAGAAACTGTACACAAGAGACCTGGCTCATAATAGGTAGTCAATAAATGGTAGTTATTATTTAAAAATAAAATCTCAATTTCCCTCTCTCTCTCCCCTTCTTGCTCCCCCTCCCCCACTAAGAGTTGCTGAGATATTGAAGAGTAAACCAGACGGGAAAACCCCACAATATAAGCAGTCCTGTTGTCCTCAGGCTGTGCAGAACTTTCAGTAAGAAAGATGAGCTCGTCTAGCCTATTACCTATCAAGTCATCATCTCTTTGCATGGCTAATCTCTGGTAAAGGTTAGGTGAAGGCTCAAAGAAATGTCTTGTCACAATATTTACATGGACATGTCAGCCTCAAGTTCACACGGATGACAGCATCCCAGATCATGTTTGTATATTTAGATGTTTGGAACTATGGTGACAAAGAGCTATTGAGCCATATTCCACTCACACACACACAAACCACACACAAACAGGTACACAAACATGGGCTCTGTAGATAGGAGAAAGTTATTTTACTAGACAAAGCAGCCAGCTGAGAACCCAAGGATCTAAATTCTGTTATTACCTTGTTGTTTGCCTCCAACCAAAAACCTAGTGTCTTTTTATGTACAGCTCTGCTCTTGAATTCTCAAAGGGAGGGCAGTTTTAAGTAGAAAATGAGATACAGCTAAAATGCAGTCTACATATTTTAATAAAATATTCTAAATAATAAGAATCAGAAATGTCAAAATAAACATTGTTAGATAGCCACAAGAGGTTATTTTGACAAAAAGCAATGTTAAAGAGGATTCTGAGTTTAAGAAGTAACTAAAGGCATTTATTTAAAAGAAATGATTCAAAGACAGACATTCTATATGTTATAAAAATTTGAATGCCCCAATATCCATAATAAAAAAATTAGACCCTAAAGTTTCGATGAGAATGGGGTTCAATCCAATAGAATATTAAATAAATGATATTTATTTAAACTATGTAGAAATATGGAAATGTTTCTGCTATGTTAATGCTAAAAATACAAAATTCATCCTCATTGTAATGACAACTGTGTAGAAGTTATGCTCGTAGTCAAGAATTGGAAGGAAATCTGAACAAATGAAAATAGTGAGTGGGTGAACTTTTCTCTATTCTTAAATTTTTCTTTATTATATTGTATATAACAATTTTAAGTAACTAAAGTACAGATCTTTTGTTTTCACGTTAAGATGTGGCTCACACAACATATTATCTAAGCGTCTCTATTCCACAGAAAACATACTCACTTAATCTAATTCAAATCTTACCTGGCCAAAAACAATGATAAACTAAGTCCAAAAAAATCCCACTCTGACATTGACTTGCTATATAACCTGGGCAAGTTCTTTCCAACTTCATTTTCCTCATGAGTAAGCTGCAGATAATATCAACTACCCCACAAGATTGTTGAGAAGATAGAACAAGATAAGGTGTCAAGGCAGCTCGTATAGGATCTGGTAGGTATTAGGGGCTCCACAGATAGTAGCCCCCATCACCATCACCATCAGCATCACTTTCTCTACACTCCTACAACTAACATGATCAAAAGAGCCCTCCTTCCCTTTGGCTGCCCCAGCTTCAAAGCAATCCTGAAATAAGTTTCCAGAAGACCGTGATATCATGTGAGGATCTTCTATGTGATCCACGTGCGGAGAAGATACAAACTTCAAATGCTTCTAGACTGTAAGCTGTAAGAGCAGAAAACGGACCTTATTTACCTTCCATACCCCTAGCCCCTGCACAGTGCCCAGCACACACCACACACTCAGGCAATGTCTGTGAAAGGAGACTCTGGGAAGTTAGAAACCCCAACGTGTTAAGGACAACAGCAAAGCAAGAGCATCAAAAAACTTGTTGTGGTTTTGGGGCTTCTTTAATTGGTAACCGATCTGTGTTTTAAAAGAAGCAAGACGGCTATTGTGCAAAAAAGCAGAACTTTCTTGGGCTTCTTTACATTTTGTTTATAATTTACTTTTATTTTTAATTCAGTGGGATGGAAGGAGACCATGATCTTTCCCAAACATCTTAATGCAAATTTGGGAAAAGTTGGTAGAAGTAACCTACACTCTGATTTTAAGGGACAAATGTAAGATTTCTCCTGAATATATTTAAGACCCCACAATCCTAAATATAAATCTACAATTTCCAAATTTCTCTAATTAGAGTCTCACCATCCCAAAAATATGTAGCTGAGGAACCAACAGAGTGACCCCACCCTAGGGACCCGTAGGACTAGGACCCCCAACTTCTCCCAGCAGCTACCTTCCACTGTGGCTATTAACTGGCAATACCTGGATGGGGTGCTCTTTTCCTAAGTTAAAAAAAAAAAAGATTAAAAAAAAAATACCTCTTCCCCAACTCTACTTCAATGATCCTCTCAGATCCCTGGGAGAAGACCCATTTCCCTGCCTAAGCTACAAAGCATCACAGAGGAGGAATGGATCCCTAAATCAAACCAGGGCTCTGATGCTCAGCCCCGCCCTCTCGCAGCCTGTCCATACTGACTTTAACTTGTGTGCTGGAGGTGAGCAGTCCAGCTGTTCCACTGCTGTGCAATCTGACCAACCATTTGCTCTCAAAAGAAGGTACAGAGGAAAAAAGCCCTTTGAGGGTAAACCCTGGTGTATGACATACATCAGAAGGAAATGGCAAAATGGAGTTGAATAGAACCTTCTGATCATTTTGGCTAAAGCCAAAAGAGTGGAATTTAAGCCCTCTGAGCTTAAGAAATAGCTCTTTGACGTCCCAATCTTCAGACACAGAAGAACTTGACTCATTTACTCCTATCTGTGAAAGTTGGGATGGGGTAGGGGAGACTTAATAAAAATGCAAATATTTAACACTGTTTTTAAGACATACCAAAGATATGATTTTTTTAATTAAATGCATTAGCAGTTATTTACACATCTATACACATTTGGAGCTTTAATGTAAAAAATATATAAGAGATTAGACCAGAATCACTTCGCGAGTCCTGGGGTATTTCTTTGAAGGTCCTGGACTCCCTCACGTCCCCTTTTCTCTCCTTCTATCTCATAAAACAGTTTAAGTTTTATATCAGCTTATTCCCAAAATTTACAATCTTTCACATTGCTGTAAGTTATCCTTCTAAAAGACAACCTAATAGTGTCCCTTTCTAGCTTCAAAACATTAATGCAGAGCTACCCACACTTTCTCAGTTCACAGCACCTGTCAGCATCCCAGAGATTTTTGCACAGCAGCCCTAAGCCAAACAAAATGCCTAATAGTTCTGTTTATTTAGTAGGTAGATCCAAACAACTTATTACGTATTTATGTTCTAACAACTCAGTAACCATTTGAAAAAAATAATACACATAAATTGAAATAAAAAGTATTTTATTTCATTCTTAAATAACCACAATTCCTTACTAACAGGATGTGTGTACTTGTTGGGCACAACACAACTTCTCTTTGAATCAGACTGAACTCTGCCTCCCTTGTTTCCTGTTCCACATTTATTTTCACATGGTACTTGCCTTTAACCATAGAAACCACCAAAAAACCAGCTTCACAAAGAGATGAAGTCATTGAAAGGAATACAGGATACTGCAACAGTGAAACTACATTAAGCTAATAGCTCATGCAATGTTTGAGCATCACTGTGCTCCCCTGAAGAGTTAAAACATCCCATGCTGCACCTGTGAGTTCACTGCAGCACCCCAGGGTGCCTCAGAGCACAGTTTGGGAACCTAAGTGTTAATGGCTCCCCACTGTCTACAGAAAAAAAGTCTAAAAGCAGGGTATATGTATAGACTATGGCTGGAAGAATATACAAGATATATAAGGATGTACAAACAGAAAATACTATTTGTCTCTGGGGAGAGTAACCAAGTGGCTGGGAGACAGGGAAGGGAGAGGGAGAATGTATTTTTCATTATAGAGCCTCTCATAATTTTTCAATTTTAAGTTTTGTCCATGTGTTATGTCTTCAAAAAACCTTTTTTAAATCCTAAATACAAAAAGAAGTATAAAATTCAAATATTCAAAAATTATCAATAATTGTCATTGTTGATAAAAAAAAAAATTACCATCAAAACTAGAACTGAGGGAAAGATCCTTAACTGTGATTTCACTTGAATGAACATCAAAGTAATCAAGAGGAAAAGTGACTTGACTGCTGAGGGGCAGGATGGTGCTCAGGAGACTTGGGTAAGCCATTGAGCACCAGCTAATGGGCTCAGTTTCCCTAATAAAATCAATATTAAAGGTCATAACTGAATGATTCAATGGTTTCAGTGTCACCATTGAGCCAATGGAAAAGGAATTATTCACAAAGTCATCAAGTGAATGGGGACAAAAAGCCTCTATCCAGGAGAAAGTGTTAGTCATCTACACGCGTTTTTATGAAGCTTATGAAGGGGGCATCATAACTACATTTCAACAGCAATGAAAAAGTACTTTCTAGTTGAAGAAACAAGAGAGACTGCGAGAGACTTCTGAGTTCTCTTCCTCTCCATGAAGAGACCACCCCAATGTCCCCTTTAGGGAAGCGGTCTGTGGCAGAGGCTACTAGCTGCCTCCCGGTATCCAGTCTCCCATTCTTCCTTACTAATAGACATTATTCAGTGAAGCCAGTTAATAGAATCTACTTTTCAGTCTCCTGAGCAGCACATGGTGTGGCCTTGTGACCAAGTTCTGACCAGAGAGGTATAAACTGAAGTGTTGCATGAGGATCTGTGAGAAGGCTAACAAAAGGAAACTGACTCCACTGGGAAATTAGATTTTTTGTCCTTCTCCCTTTGTCTTTATTGCTTTCCAGAATGGGGATGTGATGACTGGAGTTCCAGCAGCCATCTTAGACCATGAAGTAACCATGAGGTTGGAAATCTCAGGCCAGGATGCAGGGTGAAGCAGAATATGGGAAGAGTCTAGATCCTGATGGAACATGAGGCGATCACACCAGCCTGGACTTGCTACTTCCCAACATCCTCTACATGAGACAGAAAAACATCTATCTTGTTTAAAATCACCAATATTTTAAGTTTTCTGTTACACAAGGCAGATGTAATCCTAATACAGTCTTTCACTGAAATTAATTTACAGGCCACATCAACTTGAACACAGAGCTGTGATCAGAGTGACAAGAGAAAAGTGCCTGACACTGGGCGATATGAAGCATCAGTTGAGTGGGCTGTAAATCAGGGCTTGTAAAACCAAATTCTTCATGGGATGAAGTAGCTAACCTAAATTTGTGACACATCTGGTTATAAAACAATAGGGAGAAATGGGGCCTGGGGGAAGCCCCAGAGAGCTAATGGCATTCAAATTTAAATTTTCAAAAGACGGGTACAGTCCAAACAGAACATTTTTGCTGGGCTGTGAGTTTTAGGCACATCCTGTGGTTTTTAAGATAAGGAATGCTGAGTGAACACAGAGAGGAGCCTGTAGAAAAAGTCCCACTAAAATGAAATGGGGGGTGAGAGTTCCCAGGAAGCAACGGAAGGGGTCCACACAGTATGAAGCACAAAATCTCAGTGCTTACCTTTGGGTTAATTTTTAGAACAGTTATACTTGACAATATCCTCTACCATGAAAATAATCATAAGAGAAATCAAACCTCAAGGTCTTTTGAGTAAAAGACACAAAGGTTAAAGGACAAGAAGTCAGCTAATTTCTTCGTTTAACCAAAGAAAATAATTAAAAATCACAACAGTAGGTCAAAATGTTTCATTTTTTCCACCTTCAAGAATATCATGCTGATGTCACTTAATTCTGAGGAAGTCAAATTATCTATACTAGTGGAAGAGAACTGAAGGATAACCAAAACATCAGAATCCATTCAATTGTTTTAGCTTTGGGGCTCATTCTAAGCTGGTTTGGGTTTGGTTGGTTGATTTGGGTTGTGGTCCAAAGACATGCTGAGAAATGGGAAAGACTGGTCAGGGTTGAAAAATCAACTGCAGATCAGCCTCATAAAGAAAACCACGAGCTGAAAATCAGGAGAAAAGACAGCACGCATGGGCCCAGCAAGGAGAAATGGAGAATCAAAGCAGGAAGGAAACTCAGCTCCACAACTGTTCCAATGGCTTCACTTTTCACATAATTAATGTGTCTTTTTATTACAACACTAGCATATGTTTGTTACAGAAAAAAATTAAATACAGATAAGTGAAAAGAAGAAAATAAAAATCGCCTCAATCCCACCACCAGGCAAGAACTATTAACAATGTGGAGTACATTCTGCCAAATTCTTCCAGACTCCTAGTTATAGATGTATACGTGTGTGTGTATAAACATGTATATGTACACAGACACACATATACATATGTATACCTACACACACACAGATATGCATGCATATATGCATAGATATTTACATACATATACATACATGCACACACATGTATATATGTGTACAGATTTCTTTACCAATATGAAATCATAATATGCAAACAATTTTGAAATTCCTTTCAAACAATAACCCCAGGCATTTAGGGATATAAACTTGTTTGGTCAAACATTATCAAACCACTTTTTCTCCTGGGAAAACCTTATCAAAGCTTAATATGAAATATAACCATGATTACATGATAGAGAAACCAGTACTCATGTGCATGAGCAAAACTGGGTCTTCTGACTGAAGGAGACAGAAAAACCACTGTTGGGCAAACAGCACAGCAATCATTGTTGCAGGCAAAATCCACTGATGGATGATAAAATTAGTAGGCAAAACTCTGAGAAGAAACAAGATATTAGCATAGTCTTAAAGTATCACTCCCAAGATATTTATTAATTACACTGTAACTTCACAGTGGAAAAACACAGCAGACACCCCCTTCACAAGTGATCAAGGTTAACATCACCCGTATGAAGACACAGCATCATGTGCCCCCTGATATCATGCACTAAGGAGAGTACCCTCTGTGGTGTTCTCACCAAAAATGCATAACCGCAGACTTACCACGAGAAAACATCAGACAAACCCAAACTGAAGTACAGTCTACAAAATAACAGCCAGTACTCTTCAAAAATGTCAAAATTATAACGGGCCAGCCCCGTGGCTTAGCGGTTAAGTGCGCGCGCTCCGATGCTGGCGGCCCGGGTTCGGATCCTGGGCGCGCACCGACGCACCGCTTCTCCGGCCATGCTGAGGCCGCATCCCACATACAGCAACTAGAAGGATGTGCAACTATGACATACAACTATCTACTGGGGCTTTGGGGAAAAATAAATAAATAAAAAATTTTAAAAAAAAATGTCAAAATTATTAAAGACAAAAAAAATCTGTGAGGTACCCATCACAGATTAGAGAGGATTAAGAAAACAGGACAACCTAATGCAACGTGGGATCCTGGAACAAAAGAAGGACGTTAGTGGAAAAAATGGTGAAATCCAAATAAAGTCTGTAGTTTGGCTAATATTAAAAAAAGAAAACTTGTCTTTTCTTTAAAGGCAGTGAAGAAGAGACCAGAAGAAGAATCACAATGACTCTCCAGTCACCATAAATATAATGGCTTCAAAATACTATACGCAACTAAAAGTGCTAAAAGCATCCTTCACCACCAGGTAAACACAAAAGTGGAGGCAGATCATCTCAAGCTAAATTCGTTTCTCTCATCCTTAAATTGTAGAGCAATAAACAACCTATTACTCCAAATCGCACACATGCACACGAACACGCACACACAGAAAATCTGGGCACACTATTGATAACTATTTACATTACCTAAAAACATCTTGGAATTCCTCCTTTTTGGTAAAGCTCCCCCAGATGCTCCTCTTACCTTCTGAAAAGAAAACAAGAAATTGTTAAAATGCAGCCTACAGAACAGCTGATTTGGGGGGATGGAGGAGTATATCTCAGACGTTCCCAGTTTTCATAAAGGGCCAAGAGGAAATATTCAACCTGGACTAGAGATTCCAGGATAAACAGGAACTTGACCCAGGTCAATGCAGGTAGGCGAATTCAGGGCAATGCTATTGTTCCACCTGATTATCTTCCCAAGTTATAAAGAAAAACACTTCTGGAAAGGGAAGTGGAACCAGGAACCACGGTGAAATAGATGCTTCAACTTCAAATTAGCATGTACTCCCAAGAGGCTGGAGTCCATACCCAACGTTGGAGCTATTCTGGAGAGACGGCAGCTGCTCCAGGAGGGGTGGCTCTTGTTCTCCTGCTACCACTGGGCCCTCAGTGCTTGGCCCTCGGCATGCCCAACAATTATTGTTGAAAGAGTTAATAAATACTGATACATAGTCACTGCTAAATTCTGGTCATATCATATTAAACCTCAGTCTAACGTCCCTAAACATTTTTGGAGCACTAACTGACGACTATGTTTGCCATCCTATGCTTCATGTATTTTCTACCTCTGGTGGCAGCAATGAAATAAACACCCATCAAGTGGTTATGCAAAAGTGGTCATTCTTTTTTTTTTTGCTGAGGAAGATTCACCCTGAGCTAACGTCCACTGCCAATCTTTCCCTTTTTTTGCCTGAGGAAAATCAGCCCTGAGCTAACATCTGTGCCAATCTCCATCTACTTTAAATATGGGACACCGCCACAGCATGGCTGGTGAGTGGAGTAGGTCCATGCCCGGGATCTGAACCCACACACCCAGGCCGCCAAAGTGGAGCATGTGGAACTTTAACCACTCGGCCATGGGGCTGGGCTCAAAAGTGGTCATTCTTTACCCTTCCGACACTCGCACAAAAAATTTTACTCTCAAATAGGATTATAAAACTTTTTTTTCTCTTTTTGCTGAGGAAGATTCGCCCTGAGCTAACATCTGTTGCCAATCCTCTTTTTTGGCTTGAGGAAGATTCACCCTGAGCTAACATCTGTCCCAATCTTCCTCTATTTTTTTGTACATGGGACACTGCCACAGCACGGCTGGTGAGTAGAACAGGTCCACACCCAGGATCCGAACACGTGAACCCGGGCCACTGAAATGGAGCGCATGGAACTTTAACCACTTGGCCACGGGGCCAGGCCCAGGATTATAAAAATTTTTGTTTCAAATGGCCAAAATCATATTTCCACACTGTATGTTCTTTCAGTTAACAGAAAAGAACATGTTTCCTAGTTTCCTACACACCACAGTATACGGGTTGAACTCCAGCATCTTCTCAAGTACCTACACATTATGGCAGCATCAAGGCCTTGCTGTGTCTTTATTTTGTCCTCTTATCAGTCCTAAGTCTCCTTTTCCACATTTTATTATTTGGCATTGAAGGCTGACTCATCTTTGTGATTCTCACACTAAGTTATTACAGCTTCTACTATAAGTTTATAGTTCACATCTTCGGAATGTGAAAATTATTGAACACTTTAGTTCAAAAACCTGTCTCTCAGGGCAGGCCCGGTGGCATAGTGGTTAAGTTCGCACGTTCCATTTCGGCAGTCCAGGGTTGGCAGGTTCAGATCCCGGGCGCGGACCTGCATACCACTTATCAAGCCATGCTGTGGCGGTGTCCCATATAAAGTAGAGGAAGATGGGCATGGATGTTAGCTCAGGGCCAATCTTCCTCAGCAAAAAGAGGAGGATTGGCAACGGATGTTAGCTCAGGGCTAATCTTCCTCACAAAAAAAAAAAACATAAAAAAACAACCTATCTATCCAAACACTAATGCCAAATGCATTAGTCTCCTCTCTTGGAATCCCTCTCCTCTCCTCCACGGTCTCAGAGCCTCTGTCTTCTCCCCTCCACTTTCCTGCCTCAAAAAGGGATGAAATAAACCTGTATCAAAGGCACATTTAACAATTCTGGAGGTCGCTTGAAATCTCTCTACAGGAAGAGAGGTTTATGGCATCCTTTTAATTGTTCCAACCCCACTGTCACCTCCATTCCTGCATGATGGTGCAGGGAGAAAGAAGGAGAGGAGCTACAGGAAGGCCTGCTGCAACGTGAAGCTCTCCCTGATTGTGAGATGCATGCCTTAGACTTGGATTAGATCCACTTCCTTTCAGGAAAAAAAAAAAAGTAAAAACTATGTCTTCCTTCCAAAGACCATCACCTCTGCGTCTGCATCAGTTACCACCAGAAATCAGCAGGGTTTGTGAAACCGGAACTCCTCGGTCAGTAAACATGACTGTGCCTGTATGTCAGGCTCTGTGCTGGCGTTCAGGCTGCAAAGTGAATGAAGATGCACTCCATCCCCTGAGGAGTCCACCAGCACAATTGGGGAACATATATGCAAACAAATAGATTCTGGTGAGTGTTAATAGAGGTGTGAAAAAGGTACAATCATATCATAAGGAGGAAATGATAGTTCTTCTGGAGGTTGAGGGTGTGGACAGGTCAGGTAAGAAGAGCAGATGCTCAGCAAATATTTGTTGGATGGATGGGTGGATGATGGATGGATGGATGGATGATGGATGGATGGATGATGGGTGGATGGATGGATGATGGATGGATGGATGATGGCTGGATGGATGGATGGATGGATGGATGGATGGATGGATGGATGATAGATGGTGGATAGGTGGAGAGATATCCCAACCACAGGGAGTACAACAGGTAAAAGAGGAGTGGGGATAGAAGTAGGGAATCCTAGACAGAGAAAACAGCATGTACAAAGGCACGTAATCATGATGTATTCCAGAAATAAGAAGTGGTTTGCTATGTCTGGAGCACAAAGCTGCTGGAGTAAGAATAAGGGTTAGAAAGGCTACAGGGGCCAGATCACGGAGGGCCTTGTATTCACATGCAAAAAAGTTCAGACTTCACCCTGCAACAAAGACAGAGACATCAGAGATTTAAGCTTCAGTGTGCCACAGATGCACAGACACATGCACTTGGGAAGATCACTCTGGGTGCAGCAAGCAGACGGGGCAGGTTTGAAGGCGGCAAGTTTGCAGGAAGGAAGATTAGTCAGGAAGCTACAGCACTAGTCCTTTGAAGGGATAATGACCACTGAGATAAGAACAGCAGGGATGGAGAGGACACGGGGGACTTCACATCTATTTGGGAGGCCCACATAACTAGACCTGGTCACCAACCAGCATGGAAGGAAAACAGAATCCAAAGGATGTCTAGGTCTCTTCAACTCAAGATGAAGGACAACTCCGAGAAAGAGGACAATTCATTCAGTCTGGGCACACTGAGCTTGAAGTACCTATGAGATGTTCCAACAGAAAAAGCCAGGTCAGAGTGGGATGGTCATATCTTCAGCTCTGGAGAGATACCGATTGGGAAGTCATCAGCTCAGAGACAGTGGTTAAACAAGGATATGGATGACACTGACGAGGAAGAGCAGGCTTCAGAGAAAGAAGACAGGATGGTCAAACGGCATCCTAGGAAATGCCGATTTTTAAGGGGTAAAAGAAGGAAGCAATGCTACTGAAAGAAAGTGAGCAAGGGCAGTCTGAGAGCAGGAGGAAAACCAGGAAAGAACAGTGTTAAAAGAAAGCTGGGAGAAGCAGTTCCAAAAGGAAAACAATTTCAAAGACTCAAAAAGTCAAGTAAAATCAGGACTAAAACCCAAGTTTTACCACTTGTTGCACCAAGTGTGGCAACAAGAGGTAACTGACAACCTCAGGCAGATTTAGCGGATCAGCAGGAAGATCGATGGGACCACACTGTGGAAATTAAAGGGAGGTGGGTAGAGATGATGAGAACAGAACAGTTTTTAAAGCAGCTTTTTTTTTTTTAATTTTATTGAGGTGGTATTGGCTTACAACATTGCGTAATTTCAGGTGTACATTATTATATATCAGTTTCTGTATAGACTGCACCAAGCTCACCACCAATAGTCTAGTTTTTATCCGTCACCAGACATATGAGCCCCTTGACCCCTTTCGCCCTCCCCCTTACCTCCTTCCCCTCTGGTAACCACTAATCTGTTCTCTTCATCCACATGTTTGTTTTAACTGAAGGATGGGATGACTAAAGGAGGAAGAAAATTAGAGGGCGAGTTTTGTGGTGTGCTCTTTTTTAAGGGGGGAGAAAAAGGCCAGAAGAGGGAGAAGTTGGAGATATAAGAGGGAGTGGAGTTAACGAAGGAGCAAGTTTCCCGAGGTAGAAGGAAACGGGACCACGAGGACAGACAGAACACAGCTTTCCGCGGAGACGGGAGGAAACGAAAGTGGAATTAATGCAGGTGAGTTCCCAGGAGGGAAGAAAGGAGTTCAGGGAGCTCTGCCCAGGGGTCCTTGTTCTCTCTGTAAAGTACAAGTCACACTGTTTTCTGACATTGAGGGGGGTCCTGATAAAGGCTTGAGGGAAGCATCCAAAGTTTGGAGCGGGAGAGGGTATAGACTAGGTTTTCGGGGCAGTGAGAGGGCCCAGTGAAAGGGGGAAGGCCAGGAATCTGACATGGTCCCAACCCCATGGTAGTGCAGATTCCTAGCACAGAAGCAGAGGATGAAACTAAAAGATCGCCTGGCTGGAGTTCTGGAGGACAGTTAAGGAGACAAGACAAGGAGGTAAGCCAGTTGAGGGTATTGGTGACGAGAGAATGTTTAGTCACGGATCCTGAGAAGCAGGCTGAACAGCACGGGAAGCCGCTGCCTGGACAAGTCCCAGGCCTGGAGCTCTCAAGGAGGGAGAACAAAAGAAATGAGTGAGAGAGGGTTGTGGTCAGAGAGTGAAATAGCTAACTTAAAATTTCAGAGGCAGAGCTAACTGTACAAGATTACCGGCATTCTACAGTTCTGCCACTAGCTTTGTGGCCCTGAGCAAGTTATTTCAAGTCTCTGGGCCTCAGCTTCATTTTTTTTTCCCCCAGTTTCCTAAAACTCCATCACTTTACACTAAGACAGATGATACAAAGCAAACTTCTTAAGAGTTGCTATGTCCCACCTAACAGGAGTAGTGAATGTAAATCATATAATATTAGGCCAACGTTAGATTATTTTAAAGCTAACTGAGTTTATAACTTATCTGACCTCCTGGCCACTGTCCAATTTTGGGATCTCTCCTTTGTCTGGAACTTAAACAGAGAACATATTAGGTAGGCTAGGGTGAGAGATGAGATGAACTTCAAATAAATCAGCGTTGACTATTTCGAAGATCCAAGATAGTCCACAAGCTATTAGGACTAAAGTGAAAGTTGAACAGTGTTGCTAAATATAAAATCAATATTTGAAAATTAATAACATCCCCAAATACCATCAATAGCCAATTAAAATACATTTAAAAATAAAAGACAGCAGTAACAATAGTTACAAAAATTATAGGATTCCTAAAAAAATTCTAACAAAATATAAGCTCCTTTGTTGAAAATTACAAAATATTATTGAAGGATATAAAAGAGACCTGAATAGAAAGGTAGGCCATGTTGAATAGTCGTTCAATAAATATTTATGAAGCACCTACTACGTGCTGGGCACTGTTAAGTGCTGAGGACACAGAAATGAACAAAACAGACAAGTCCCTGCCCTCGTGGAGCTTACACAATGATATGGATCACAGATTAATCTACAAATTCAGTGTGATCGTGATCAAAATCTCAACAAGATTTTTTAAACTAGATGAACTGATTCCAAAATCCATATAGAAAAATAAACGTCTAAACCTAGGAAAGTTCTGGGAAAAATGAACATGGAAAAAGTGCTTGCACTACCAGATATCAAGGCTCGCCACACCAATGACACAGACAAATAAGATCAACAGAACAGAACTGAGAGCTCTAACACAGACCCAAGTGTGAAGGGCAAGTTAAAATACAAAAAAGATGGCACCATAAATCACTGGGAAACACTGCACTACTCTAGTAATAGTGGGACAACTGGTTATCAATATGGAGAATAAAAAGTAGATTCTCACACTTCAAACAAATACAAAAATAAATTATAGATGGATTAGAGGCCGGCCTGGTGGCGTAGTGGTTAAGTTCACGCACTCTGCTTCAGCAGCCCAGGGTTCGCAGGTTCAGATCATGGGCACAGACCTATGCACAGCTTATCAAGCCATGCTGTGGCAGGTGTCCCACATATAAAGTAGAGGAAGATGGGCATGGATGTTAGCCCAGAGCCAATCTTCCTCAGCAAAAAGAGGAGGATTGGCAATGGTTGTTAGCTCAGGGCTAATCTTCCTCACCAAAAAAATAAAATAAAATAAAACATAAATAAATAAATTACAGATGGATTAAAGACCTAAAATGTTAAGACACACACACACAGTACTTTAAAAAAAAAAAAGTATTAGAAGAAATTTCTTTATGACCTTGAGTTGGGAAACGATGTCTTAGACAAGATACAAAAGCACAATTCATAAGAGAAAAGTTTAATAAATCTAACTACATCAAAATTCAAAACTTCTGTTCTGCAAAATAATTCATAAACGAAGCAAAAAGACAAGCCACAGATTGTAAGAAAATTTTGTATATAACAGACAAAGTTTTGGTATCCAGCATGTAAAAAGAACTAAATCAAACTTTTTAGAAAAAGATAAACCCATAGGGAAATAGGACAAAAATAAAAAAAAGCAAATCAGAGAAGAGAAAACCAGAATGGCCAATAAACATATATAAAGATGTTCAACCCTCACAGAAGTAATGCCAAATATCTAGATGCCACCTCACAACCGTTGGCTTGACAAAAATCAAAAGTCTGACCAAGCAATGGTGAAGGTGTGGGAAAGCAGACATTCATAATCACTACAGATAGGAGTGTAAATTGGTGCAACCACTCTGGGAAGGATTTGGCAATATCTAGTAAAAAAGAAGATAAGTACACCCACGAGCCAGCATTACCACTTCTAGATATATTTCCTAAAGAAATCTTGCATATGTACCCCCAGGAGAAATGGTTAAAAATGTTAATTGTTACATTGTTGGTAGAAACAAAAAAAATGGAAACAATCTAACTGTTCATCAATAGGAGAACAGAATAAGAAATGACAAGGTACTCATAAGATGGAATACCAAACAACTATTAAAATGAATTAAGTACATCCAGATGCATAGCAACATGGATAGATTTCACAAAGGTGAAAGGGAAAGTTCCAAGCAAATTATAGGAAGCAATATGATAGTATTTATCTACATCTTTAAAACACATAAAGTCATACTATATATTGTTCATGAATACCCATATGTAAATAAAATATAATGACATGCACAGGAATGAGAAACAACAAATTCACAGCCATTGTTACTTCTGGGGATGGAGGGAAACAAAAAGGACTTGAACTTTCAGGAAAGCTCTTTCTCTAAAAAAAAAAATCTGAAGAAAAATATCCAAATATTTTTGATTTCTGATTTTTGGATCCATGAGTGTTTCTGGCAATATGCTGCAGACTTTTCTGTATTTTTTTCACTTAATCTTTTTTCAATTCAGTTAACTCATGTCTTCTTAACTCCAATCAGAAGTTTAGAGGAAGAGAAATGTAAAACCGGTTAAGATAAGGTTTGGGGAAATCTATGTATTTCTGCAAACGGTGCTATTTTTGTTTCCCATCATCAAAGAGAATCAGAAGTTATGTGGGCACAGTAAAATCTCCATGTGATAAACCACACTAAGACAACGTTACAGGAAATATATCAAGGCCAGTTCTCCTTGATCTGGAGTGTGTATCTCACCTCTCGCACATGTCTTTTCAGGTGCATGTATACACTCTGTCCAGTTTTTCGAAAATGTCTTTCAACATGTTCCCTTCCAAAGGCCAAAAATGTATTCATGCATACATAGAGTCCACCTTCAGAATTCTAGAAGAAAGAGACAGGTTACAACATTAGCCAAGGACGCCTAGCCAAGCAGTCCAGATATAGAAAAAGGGAAGGGGCAGGAAAGCAAACGCTGAAGACGAAGCCTGGCAAAAGGCCACCTGGCTGTCGTAGTCATCTGCAGTGACCCTCAATGGCTCCACAGCCACCCACAGCGGCAGCTCCCACCCCAATCCTGGGTTCCAGGTGCTCCGGGACAGCTGAGCACAGTCTCAAAGTCAGGCGAGATCCTCAGAGGCTTTGGGAAATAAACACACTTGTCTGACTCTCCAAACTGGGGTAAGGACAACAGGGGATAGAAGAAAGTTGGAAAGTGATCCAACTACCATCACTGCAACGGTTTATCATCACTCTTCCTCATTCATCAGTGCAAGGCTCCAGGAACATCAAGTTTTAGCAGGACAGAGTTCTTCCAAGATCTTGTTCCCTTCCTTTGGTGACATATGATATTTAATGATATCCAACAATAAATTATAACAATTTAATACATATAATAACTTAATAAGTAAATAATAAAGGATGGAGACCCATAATAATCTTGGCTACACATTATTGCATGCCTGATACATGTCAGGGGCTTTATGTATATTATTTCTAATCCTAACAATACTGCAAGCTGCTTAGTATTATTTCCATTTTACAGTTTTTAAAAAAAGCTAAGAATAAGTCACTTGCCCAAGTTCACACAGCTTGGAAGTGTTAGAGTTAAATTTCAATCTATTTCTCCTTTTATCCTGCTATGCCACATTTCAAACATTATTTAATTACAGACATACTGCTACAATGAACAGTCAAGGATATTGTTCACATTTTAGATACTTGATTTTCTATCCCAATTTCAACTCTCCTTTTCTCTCACTTTGCTTAACATGCTTCTCTGTAAACTTAGCCTATAAAATTAGCCCTCCCTTCCTCCATGGAAATGAATTTTTCTTAAGCTCCTGTTGGTCTCACCCCTCCAAATGATTAAAAAAAAATTTTAAATACCTGTCAAAATTGCCAACAAACACTTATCAAAATTCCTTACACTGCATTTAGTAGAGTACATATTATAATATCAAAACAGACACTGATGCTCATTATAAATACATGAAAAATAATTTTTAAAGTTCCAATAACTCAAGATTGTTTATTAAAAAGAATTTCTAATAACAAAGTTCTCCAACATTGTATCTATGGTTTATAAGCCTGACATAAAGGAGTCTTGTCACAATGAGGACATTATAACAGCATTAGTTCAAATCTGTGCCTATTATTGTGTCATATATATTGCAATAAGGCAAGAAAAGAAAAAACATATCAAGATCACAAAGAAAGGGGCCAGCCCAATGGCGCAAGCGGTTAAGTGCACGGGCTCTGCTGCGGCGGCCTGGGGTTCGCCAGTTCAGATCCCAGGTGCGCACTCACGCACCACTTGGCAAGCCATGCTGTGGCAGCGTCCCATATAAAGTGGAGGAAGATGGGCATGGATGTTAGCCCAGGGCCAGTCTTCCTCAGCAAAAAGAGGATTGGCAGATGTTAGCTTAGGGCTGATCTTCCTCACAAAAAAAAAAAAAAAAAAGATCACAAAGAAAGAAACAAAATGATCTTGTTTGCTTACGACATTATAATCTATATGGAAAATCCTAAGAATCTACAAACTACTAAAAATAACAAGCAGTAAAACTAATAAGTGAATTTAGCAAGGTCATGGGATACAGGTTAATAGACAAAAAGCAATTTCAATTTCACACACAGACAACAAACACTTGCAAATGAAATTTTAAAAACCTGACTGTAAAATAGAAACCAAAAAACTCAGAATTATAGTTATGTAGCTTGAGCTTCTGGATAATTTTTTTCCCTTTAAATGAGATCATTTGAATAAAATCAGAAAAGTTCTTCAACTAGAAGCAACACATTATATTCACTTGATACTAGAATAAAAAAAATCTTTTGAAAATATTTACCTAAATAAACATGTTCTTTTGCATAGTCATCACCTTTATGAAAAAAAATATTGCATCATGATATTGCATTATAATGGTCAGTTATTCATTAAGCCCATTAAATTGAGCACCACATATTTCAATGAGAAAAATAACACATCTATTATCTTCCAACAAAATGTAATTTGATCAAAAAGAATTCAAACCAGAAGATATACTGAGGAAAATATGAGATTTGTAACCAGAGGTTCTGAACTGCCACTAACTAGCTCTGTGGCCTAAGGCAGGTTGTCATAAAGGTCTCTGAGCTTCAGTATTTTCCTCTACAAACATGGCTGTAGCGATAATTCCCACCTCACAGGATTTCATGAAGTTCAAAGGGAATGAAACACATTCTATGCTGTAAAGCATTACATAAATGTTTGTAATTATTTGTTATGAGCTAAAAGTTTTGTGTGCTACATGGATCTCCTGTTATCTCAATTATTTTATAATTGGGGAAAATACACAGAAGGAAGAAAAAAGTGAGTCTGACAGTCACATAGGCTGGGGGTAACAAATATTAATCTGTCAGAAAAATATATCAGACAACTAGTGGGAAAACCAAGAAATTAACAAGTAGAAGAAGAAAAATGTTCAAGTACAGCGTTTTTCGGAAGCAAAATAGAATAGCCATATAATGCAAAACTTTATAAAGTAATCTCTAGATAATCATAAAGTCTTTGCTAATTTCATTGCTACGAGTTTTTGACTTATTAGGGTATTTGATAAAAACTGAATACACCAAATATTCATTCTCAATTTCTGGAGTTGCTTGATATTGTCACAAAGTTCATAATCAAAGAGAAAAATGCTTTGGCACTCACAGACGAATGGCCCCACAGAGGGAAGGATTCTGTTACAAACATCCATGGACATCTTCCATCCAACGCACAAGCTGGTCTCTGAAGCAGGGTATGCCCCTCTACTAGTAGCTCTGAGATGGAGGTACTGCCCAGGGGACTTGCCAGTAGTTTTAAAAGTTCAGGACACACTGAGACAGAAAACCCTCTAAAAGCTACCCCATATAGGACAAACAAACACCCCAGTCTAATGATCTACGCTTTCTTCCCTCTTGCTTTAGTAATGTCTAAATATTGGTCCCATGAGACACTTTCGTTCACATACAAAGTCAATAATCCATGCCATATGCTCTGAACAGCTTCTTTTACTGATGATGACAAGTCTGTGCTGATAAATATCCCTCAAGTCCTTTGTAACCAAAGCACAGAGAATGATTTATAGCCTGGGATCAAAGCTAAGCTAATTGACTCTTAAGAGTTTTCAAATCCTCAACCTCCCCTCTTTCATTAACCAGCCACACCACCGCTAAGAACATTGCCCCAGAAAACGACGTAAAGCATTTACCTTCATATGACCAAAAGTGCAGCCAAGAAATCACGCAGGATAGAGATCTGTACCAATTGACAGTGAAATGCAACTGGAAGAATAAGAGGGTAGAGCGCAAAATAATACTTTTTTCAAATAATGGTGGTAGAGGTGCTTTATTAAATTATTTTTAGATTACAAATGAAATTCGCATGTATTAGGTTAAATTTTTAAAAATAAATAGTAGCATAAGAATGAAGATTCCAAAAATATATTCATATCCTGAAAATTGCTTCATATATGTCAAACCACAAGAAATACAAAAATAGGGGAAAGAATCACTAATAAAAGTTACTGGAAGAGCTAGACATCAGTACAGAAGAAAATTAACCTAGAACCATATCTTATACCAAACACTGTAATAAGGTCCAGAGAGATCCAAGAGATAAGCATTTAAAAACCAGAAAAGAGCAGAATAACATACTCATCCCACTTGTGATGAGGAAAGTAATTTCTGGCCAAGAAACTAAAGGATATCATCAGAGATGGTGTAGTTGAGTATAAAAATGTAAACAATAACAAACAAGGTTTGTACCCCAAAATGTAATGAGTCAAATAGAAAACCAACAATAACAGAACGGGGAAAGATGTAAAGTAAAATGAATAAAAGCTCATATCCAAACTAAGTAAAAATTGATAAAATTTTTGATTAAATTGACAAAAATTGATAAAAATTGTTAAAATTGATTTAAAAAATAACAAGATGTCAACATTCAGGTTCAACTTGGTTAAGAGTTTTTTTTTTAAAGACTGTTTAGGGCCGGCCCCGTGGCTTAGCAGTTAAGTGCTCGCGCTCCGCTGCTGGCGGCCCGGGTTCTCCGGCCATGCTGAGGCCGCGTCCCACATACGGCAACTAGAAGGCTGTGCAACTATGACAGACAACTATCTACTGGGGCTTTGGGGGAAAAAATAAATAAATAAATAAAATTATAAAGACTGTTTAATTTTAACTGTGAGAAAATATTAAAATCGAATCATCACATCCTCACTACCTCCTGAAGTAAGCACATTACAACAATCTCAAGGCAAGTATACGCCTACTAACTAGCAAATTATATTAAAATTACACAGCTTGAAGCCACAGAGAAAACCTGCATATCCACTCCCACAGTATAGATTGGTTGTTTCCCTCTTTCCAGAGAGCGATAAAACTGTGACCCTTTGACACAGTATTTTTCCTTCGGGTACAGATTTCAGAAATCCAAAAGAAAGAGAGGAAAAAAAAAAAAAAAACCTAATTTACACAAAAATATTCACAGATGCACTATTTATAACAGGAAAAAGTAGTAATGGCCCCAAATAGAGCAGCTAAGAACCTGTGCATATATATACAACAAAATAATACAACATTGTTTAAAATAACAAATTATGAATTGTGTGTAATAGAAAGTATAGAAAATATGTATAGAATTATATATAATGGGCATAGGAAAGTAAAGTTCATGAAAAAAGAACACATGCTGATGACAAGGAGGAAAGAGAAGAGGGAAGACCTGAAATGAACCTGGATGTGATAAACGGTTTTATATTTATTTAAGTTCTTGACTGTGGGGCCCACAGCCTCACCTCCCATTACCTTCATCTTTGGTCTAGAGTGGTGTTTCTCAAACCACTATCATGAAGAAC